CACAGCTGCCTCCCTGGCCTTCCCCTTCATCCTCATCCTCACAGTGCCGCTCCGCATGGTGGTGCTCACCCGCATCTTCACCGAGCGAGAGATGAAATGTGTAAGGACCCCCACCTGCCTTCCCTCAGACCCTCCTGGCCCCTCGTACATGTGGATCTGAAAAGGTCCCACCCTTCCCTTCCTGACAATCACCCTCCTTCCCACAGCTGGATGCAAATGAGGCAGAGCCTGTGTTTGACGAGCGGGAGGGTGTGGATGAGTACAATGAGATGCCCATGCCTGTGTAGCTGCCGCCTGGGACAGCTGAGGGACTGATGGACCGAGGGAACGGGCTGGTGGATGGGGCTCCCCATCCCCCCCTCCCTCCTTGTTTTTATTTAAGTGAATAATTTAAAGTCCCCCCTCCGCAGTAAAGTGCTTTGGCCCCACCTACCCCTGGCTTTTTGTCTGCGTATGGAAGTGGATGAGTGAAAGAAGCGGGGTACGCAGCCCTGCTCCTTGTCCCAGAAGCAAGACTCACGATGGGAAGGAAAGGGACTTTAATGAAAAGCCAAAACACAGGGAGCCAAAGTGCAAATTGTATACCCCCCATAGGGGGGCCATCCTGAACCCATGTGTATCCCCTCACCCCCCTTCGGGTCCCCAGCGGAGGCCCAAGGCCTGGAGCTTCTGCCTCAGGTAGCTCTTGAGCTGGGGCAGGCCTCTCTGGGACTCCAGTTCCTCGAAGGGTAGCTGCAGGGAGAGGGCAGCAGGTTACCTAAGGGCCGGGAGGGAGGATGTGCCACAGGGCAGGCCGGAGCCACTCACCGGCAGGAGTTGGTAGCCCATTAGGCCCAGGTGCCGCTCCCTCAGGGCCCGGGAGCCCAGCAACACCCTGCCATCGCGGCAGAAATGCCAACGTTCCCGCAGCATCAGCACCACCCTAGAGGGGGAGGGACATGGCTCAGGATGCTGCATGCAGGGCAGCCAAGGCTCTCCCACCCTACCTCCCTTACCTTTGGGCAGGGTCTTGGGTAGTGGGGTTAGAGGCAGCCTGGCCCTGTGGGCAGGACCTTGGTGGGTATGGTAAGAAGGGGTCCTGGGTCCTCACTGGAAGCACAGCACCAGAGCTGCTGACACACAGCAGGAAGTCTGCAGGGGAAGAAGGGCCAGTGCCCTTATCCAGGGTTCCATCTCTCCAGCTTGACGCCCACCCTGCACTCACCTGTGCAGTAGCCCGGAGGCACGGTCAGGTCCTGGCGGTATTTTTCCTCCCCTAGCAGCTGGCGCAGCCCCTCAGCAACTATGTCCTTGTGACTGAGAGAGAAGGACACCAATAATGAGAAGGCCCTGGATTATCATCCTAGTCTGTTTGGGCCTACTATACCACCACCCTGAGCAAACCCCCCTGCAGCCTCGGCCTGGTTTTCTTTATGACAGCTGAGTGCATTAGCTTGGGCAGTTCATGGGCCCTCTGGCTTTTCTGTGCTGCTTCCAGGCTGGAACCCACCCCTTGCCCCAAGTTGCCCCATACACCTGTACTTGCAACGGGCACGGTCGGTGATGAGTGGCTGAGGAAAGATGGGCACTTGCTGCCTTCGGGGAAGGCGGGGACCCCGGTATCCTGGGAGCTCCAGCTCCACAGCCGTGTCAAGCAAGGAGAGGTAGCGGCGCACAATGAGAGCATGAGGGGTGCCTGTGGGGAGGCGGGAACTGGGATGTGCTGGACTGCAGGCCACACTGCTCTCCCTTGCCCTCCAGCCCTCGGGGCCCCACCCAGCCATCCTGTTTGCATACCACTGATGTGGTTGATGAAACTCGGAGAAAAGACAAAGTGCAAGGCTCTGAAGGGCAGGCACCGCAGCTGGCACAGTGACATCAAGATGTTGACTGTGGCCAGGGGTGCCACCCCTGCTTCCCGAGCCAAGATCCTCTCAAGACAAGGCATAAACTGCTCTTCAAGGGGCAGGTAGTTCAGCCGCCCAAAGGGCAGGACCAACTTCTGTACCACCTGTGGAGGAAGAGCAGTTCATTACCCAGTGTAAAATACTTCTCCACTGTCTTACAAACTGAGCCTTGGGGAGGCATGGCCCTCAAGTTTGTAATGCCTCTGAAAGGCAAAACAGTCCCTCTGTTCCCAACATAAACACCACAAGCTCAACAGCGTAATTCATGAGCTGCAAGTGACTAGTCACCAAGTAAGCAGAGGGGACATCACTGTGGGGTCTGGCCCTGGAAACTTGGAGACATGGGATCAGTGAAGCTAGGGTGGTGCTAGGAGTGCTTTGGAAAACTCCAGAGCTGTAGGTGTACATGCTGGTGATGGAAGGTGGGCAAGCCACAGAGAGGAAGTGAGCAGATGGAAGTCGAGGGGGATGGATCGAGGAGCTTAGATGGTGTGTTTGTTGCAGGAAAAGGCCAGCCAAGCTGGATGGGGGCTGGACCTGACATGGCTGCAGAGGATGACTCAGAGGAACATGGGAGGGTGGGAGGCAAGCCCACCTTACTGTTTAGCTGGGCTTCCTGGGTCACCAGGAAGTGGGCAATGGCTTCCAGAAGCTGTGGCTCCCGCAACCGGTGCCGGGCTAAGTGCTGGGCCAGGAGCACCATCACATGGGGAGTCAGTTCCTCTGGCCTTGCCTCTGTGAAGAACAGTCTATCATGCTGGACCCTCAGGCCAGGCAAGGCCTCCAACTGACTAAATTCCATCTCAGCCCAGACAGCTTAGCCCACCTTTGATCTCCTCCTCAGCACTCCCCGCCCCATTTGCCTTTAACATTCTCCAGCACCTGCCAGGCTGCTGATCAGATGCTGCTGTGGGTACCGAAGGAAACGGGGGCAGCTCAGAGCAGCTTCCAACCCTTGCCCACCACGGAGGATGGGTTGCAAAGGGGGAGGTGGCTTCGGAGGTTGACGGAACCTTCGCTCCTGCTCCAGAGCACACACCAGGGGCCCATCTGATGGAAAGCCTGAGGGGGAGAGGTCAAAGGCAGTCCAGGTTGCAGAGAGCTGTGCTGCTGTATTCTAATCATAGGGTTAGTTAGTGAATTCCCCACCTTTCTCCTCTCCATTTCTTGAGCGGGAAGGTGTGCTAGAGTTTAAATGGAAACACTGGAGAAATGTAAAATATCATGTGAACATGAGGTATCAGAAAGGTCTGTGAGGAAGACATACAAAGATGGCAAATAGGCTCTCATATCATGCGAACTATAACAAACTGTAGTAGTTTCCTAAAATACTCTATTAGAAGGCATCTGGGGTGGCAACCTAGTGAGGCTGGACTGAATGCTGTTTGACTCTCAGTGTCTGGAGTAGACAGACAGGGAGTGGCAGCAGGTGTTTCTGGGTATGTGCCACTCCTGGGCAAAAGCCTGCGAGGTGGAGTCTCTCTGTCCATGATCTCGGGTCATCTACTGTTCTAGTTCTCTATTCTTTCACTGACACCCAGCCCTCCCAGGCACCCTTCTCAAGCCCCTCCTCACCAAGTAAAACTGCAAGATGCAGACACACGTGGATGGTGTGAATGTCAAAGGAGGGGCAGTTTCGGATGATGAGCTGACTCAAGTCCTGCAGTGTGGCCTGCTCCACAGGAGGGGGCCGTGGCTGAGACCCCAAGAGCTGGCCCAGACGACGAAGTGCCACTGGGTAGTGGTAGGCGCGCACCTTGGTGGGGTTCTGGCCCAGCCAGCGCAGCAGTTCCCCAGGGCTCCTTGCCTGTTCCAGAAGCCGCTGCAGCCCTTGCACAGGACCTGCACTGGGGCCTCCTCCAAGAGGCCGGTCCCCCCACTTGCTGGGTCTCAAACAGCAAGGCTGTACTGGCGGGATCAGCAGCAGGCCAGACAGCCGAGCAGGGGAGACCTGGGCAGAGAGCAGGACTCGAAGCATGGAGTTGGGTGGTGTAGACCCTGAGGGGCGGCCCAGAAAAGGGGGTGAGGTTTTCTCCAAAGGGGAGAAAGATCTGCTATCTACACCTTACCTTACTCCCCCATCCAGAGAAGTGTGGGGTCAGAGCAACACTTAAGGACTGCTCTGGTACACTTTCCCATACCGCCCCTCTGCCTCTTTCCACTCCTTTGAAACAGCAATCACAATTCTTCAGAGTGCTCAGCGCAACACTATTTGCAAAGCAATTCCACATGCATCATCTCCTCTGATGCTCCTCACACATCCATAAAAAGTAGGTTGGGCGGCCGGCAGTACCTCATTTCACAGGTGGGAAAACCCAGGCCCAGAGCGAAGGGGTTAAGCCAAGCCCGAGATAATTAACCGGGTTAGTGGTCGCGCCCAGTCTGGAGTTCAGGTGGCCCCGGCGACGCGCCTTCCCGACCACCTTCCCCTCCCGCAGGAGGCGACGGCACGGAGGGTAGAACGCGGGCTCCGCGGCCGGACGGTGCCGGGTTCCATGCTGGGCGCTCCCACTTACCAGCGGCGTGACCTTGGACAAGTGTCTTCGTCTCTCTGCCTAAGATTCCTTACTCGTGAAACGAGAGTGCAGCGCCCACTTGGCAGGGCGCGCGTGGGGCCCGAATGCGCAGCTTTGCAATGGCGCGGAGTCAGCCAAGTCGGGGGCTCCCACAACCACCCCGGCCCAGGGAAGCCAGGAGGTCGTGGGCACTGCTGCTAATACCAGCTCCCGCCGCCCTCCCGAGGCCCGCCCCTCAGACACCACCCCTACATGACTCCCTGAGCCCCGCGCAGATCACTCCCTCAGTCGGTCTCGGGGCCCGGGAGCCGGGTT